TCATTTCGAAACCTTTACGTAGTATTCATTTGGAAATCCTAAAAGCCATAAAAACGATATTTGCTGATGAAGCTTTGAGGTCTTTGATGTCCCACATGGTGTGTGACGAATTGTTTCTAAAAAGTAATTTGTATATCTTTATGAGCTGTGCTTGGTCGCAAGCCTTGCAAAGAGCATTCGACCATTTGTTCAATGATTAGATTGTGTGAATGCTTTTTCCTGTTTTCATTATCGAAAAGGGGCGTGTGTTGGATTTAGACACTCGAGTGTAGGCATATGATTATATACTATACTAAAAAAAAAAAAATAAATAAAATAAAATAAAAAAAATGTTTCAGATTACGATTGGGAATCCTAATAATATTCTAAGAATCAACCTGATACGCCAAGCCTCAATATTCGGACCAGATAATTCATAGATCTATGTCCACTGAAAGGTAATGGTTATTCCATTCAAGAGCTTCCAACTTGTAAGCATATACGAATTTATTTGTAATATATCAAATCATGTAAGCCAAAAATTTAAAAGTAACGTCACAACCAATAGTAGCGCTGACATCAGCTTAAGACCAGCAGCTCCGTTCCTCATGGCCAGATAGCGGACAAGTTGATCCAAGTTCTGGTCAGCCCAATTAATGTTTCTTTCGATTCTGATCAGGGCTTGGCGAAGTATCACATCGGAGCTGCCGAAAAGCGTAGAACTCTCTTGAATGAACTCGGCAAAAAGCTGTTGCTGGTCCCTTGTGGTAAAGTAGTCCGCCATATCGCTCAGGGCCGTCGCAGTCCTAGACCAGCTCTGCAAGCTGTAAGTTGTGGTAATATTACTATTGAAACGAAATTCATTGTCATAGATCTTACGCATCTGCCAACTGCTGGATGTCCATGGTAACGGCAATAAAAATGTCTTTTACTAGATCGGGATTCTGTCGATAGAGCTGAGCCAGGCCAACAGTCTTTTGGGACACACTGCTGGATTCGTTTAAGATTTCATCGTGGTAGTGCCGGTAAAAGTCCGTCGTGCAGCTGGCTGCGCGCCAGAGTAGCTCTCGTTCATTTGGGTCCGTCTCATTCCTATAGTACTCCATAACGAGAGCGTATCTACCTGCTCTGGAAGCAGCACAGTAATAGGTCTCTCGATAGTCTGATGATGGGATCTCCGAGCTTTTATCAAAGCTCTCTCGCACTTCGTCTTCACATCTGAAGTTGTGATACTTGCAGAGCCAGGAGACCATCTTGTTGCGATTGTAGACATCCAACACGGTGTCGTTAGAGCTCCATCTCACGCCCAGTTTGGCATAGACGCCATGAGTAATGTCGCTGAGATACTTCCTGAAGTTTGGTAATTGCTCTGGGGTCAAACGCATTGCCACTCTATCCATGCCCACATAGGCTGCATACCAGGGAATATAGTCGGTTTCTTTGCTCATGTACTCCATGAACTCGAATACCTCGGCATAATTACTCAAACCGATCAGAGCTAAATTGAAGAGATCATCAATGATCGCTGCGCGATTCGCAACGTGTATTTCGCTGTGGTTGGTTTCGGCCAGAGCATCATGGATCCGCTTCAGCAGCGATGGCGCATACAACACGCGATAATAGTTGGACTGCTGCAGGTTGAGCACAATCCATTCGATTGGGCCAGAAAACGGAAGCAGCATAACATCGTCCCATTTATTGAAATACGCAGCGGGTATCAAGTCTTCAAAGTCACGATTTACATTTGTGGCATAGGTGATGGGCACCGTGTAGGTTAAATGGGTATCGCTGCCATCGTTGCGATCCAGTATGTATCGGCGTTGTCTTAAGGCAAACGAAGAGACGTCAATGCGAATCACTTCGATAATGGGGTAGCCCACCTGCTGGGTGAAGTCGTAAAAGAACTGATCCAAGGTAGCATTCAGAGCTTGGGGCCAATTCGCCTTGAGATGTGTAAACAAATCATTTGGCACGGTGTTGCCCAGGTGACTAAGGGAATGACGATAGACGATAGATATATTGCAGTCATGCTAGGAAAATTTTCACTCACTGCTGCCTGAGGTAGTTGCGAATGGCTAGATCAAAGTTCGCCGCGCCCATCGCATTCCGCCACATGCGCACTATGCTAGAGCCCTTGGCATATGCAATGCTGCTGAACTTTGAGGCAATTTCGGATGGGCTTTGTATGTCCGCCTCGCGGCTTGACAGCGGCTGCGTTCCGTTGGTGGCATCAACTGTAAAGATCATCTGCAACTGGCGCACAACGAATTGCTCGTCTAGCTGATAGGCCGGATAGAGCTGTAATGGAACTCTTTGATTTGTCAGATATCTTAGCTAGTGCTTGAATAAATTTACTTGATGCGACATAAAGTACTCGTAATATCGTGCGAATGCCTCGTTTAGCCAGAAGTTATTCCACCAGGCAAAGGTCACACTGTCACCGAACCACATGTGCGATGTCTCGTGCACGATGATGCGTATGCTAGCCTCCTTATCGTTCCAGCCATCTGTGTAGTTTGGTCGATGCACCAGAATATTTTGACTATGAAATGCAGGAAATGTTATTGCAAGACGATCTAGTCAAGTCTGTATGTGTTTTGCAAACTAACCTGTAGATGATGAGACCCCAGTTCTCCATGCCGTTGTGCGGAAATCGTGGGGAGGCGGCATGCAGGAGAGCTTCGTTGCCCAGTTCCTTATAGGGATGTTGGAATAGCTTGTCGTAGGCATCTCTCGCACGCTGAGCCACATTATAGCTGAACTCAGAGTTGTTGTAGTCCTGTGGCCGACTTACCACAGCCAAGTCGCTGAGATTACCGCGTGCCTGAGACTCGGCGACCATAAAAGCAAGCAGATAAGTGGACATGACAGGTGTTACTTGGAAATGATCCATTGCCCGATTATTGCTGCAATTGGAATAGAATCGATAAGCTGGCGCAACACGCTTGTGGGCTATCTACATCAGCTTACCGCAGTGCTGTTGTTGCGATAACCTGCGTATTGCTGATAGCATTCATTCCGCTCGGCCGCTCAATGTGCAGCTGGAACTTGGCCTTGAAGGCCGGCTCATCGAAGCAGGGAAAGAGCAGACGCGCATAGATCCGTTGCAATTGCGTTAGGACCATCCATTTGGTCAGGCCCGTCTCATGCTCCACATAGCTGGCAGTGAACAGACCCTTCATGTCACTGTTCACCTTGCCCCTGTACTTGAAGTGCAGCGTGAAGCTCACATTGGGCGCCAACGGCTGCAGCAGATAAACAGTTAGCTTCTGTGTTGCCGGGCTATAGCTCAGTGAACTATTCGCAATGCCATAGAGCAGCGAGCCAGCCTCATTGTGCAGCGCGACCTCGGCTATATCGAGATCTTCCTTGTGCAAGACGATCGCATTCACATTGGGCTGCGTCGCTCTCAATGTTATATCGACGGCGCCATCGAAGCTGTCGCTGGGTTGATTACCATCGGTTCTCAGACCTATGGTTAGATTATAAAATATCGGTCGCACTGTGCGCTCGAGTCGATAATTCGCACACTCGACGCCGGCTATCAGGCCTATAGATAAAAGGCCGGCGAGCAGCCAGACGCTGCGTCCAAAACTGTTCATGCCGAAAGCAGTTTCAATACTGAGCGTCAAGCTTATTTAAAATTGAATTAAACACAGATGATGTTGTGTTTGCGTGATGATAAGATAACCTGGGCAGTGGCAATCGATGCGATGAATAGGCAGCCATTCTTATTCCCATATCCATAAGGCTTTTCCATAAAAAACATTTCATTGAGAAATCTATGTGAATTATAAAAATTGACTGATGATTCACAGTAGTTGAACACATTCATTAGAAACTTAATATAACCTTAAATCTCTTAAATACAAAACTGTTTGTAAACCAGTTTTTGAGTGGAATTTCGAGGTATTTGCAAAATAAATATGTTAAATATGGATAAACAAAACACAACAGAAATTTTACTGAGTTTGCATTTTAGACACTCATAAGCTACATTTCATAAACAAATATATTTATGTATTTACATTAGCAAGCTGCTCTCTCACATGGTATTCGCTTTTACTCAAAGCTTTGTGAATGTAGCCAGAAGAATTTATTTACTCTAATATTGATTTGCTTATATGAGGGTCTGCTCTTTATAAAGAGATTATTTTCAAACAGTATCAGAGAGGTGTTAGGAAGTTTTTGTACTTGACAAAGTGAAGTGAGTTTATTGGTTTGCGCACTGTCCATCCGTCCATCTGTCCGTATGAGTGCAAATAATCTACACGCAATCGACTCTATAGACTTGAATGCTTAAATATATACTCGTGTTTGCTTCTGACAAAGTAAAAATTATTTCCGAGGGGGATTTTTATATAAGAGGAGCTGACAAATCAAAGAATTCAGTTCCCAGTATTCCAAAAATCCGGCTATATTAAGCGTCAGATATAGTTGATTATAGTCGGGCTACCAATTTTAAAAATAATTAAATAAATAAAGTACATATGAGGTAAATCCGTCATAAAGATTAACTTTTCTCTAGCTATAGAGACTATATTATGAATGACTAAATTCAGTATTGGTATGCCGCAAATGATATGTATGTATATCGGAAAATTGTGCTGGTACCGTTTTAATTATAAATAAGTGGACTATAATTACGATATTATGAATAGGGTAACTTGCATTTTATCTCATATTAGCTTATCAACTCAATAAATATTTATTCCTCATCAATATACTAGGCAGAAAAATTGATCGAGTGGTTTTGGTCGGGACAGGCTGATGGATACCTCTGACTGAGAGTCCGCCGCTGATATCGTTGTTGATAGACACGGTTTATGACCAATATTTGCGCATGATACGAGGCAGCATACCAATAATGTGTATATACTCCAAATATAGCCAGAATTTTGTAAAATTGTGAAAAATATTATGCCTGCAGAATTCGCCGAACGCGAACTAACTAATATTGACAGCTGAAACTTATTAAACCCACGTCCACGTTCCATAAAGATTAGATAGAGTTTTAGATGGTTTTATTATAAGTTAAAGTCAACATAGTTATATTCAAAGCCCTCTTATCTGGCTGGTTTATGGCCTGTTGCACAGGCGGTACAGGCGTTCAAATACTTCAACAGTTGGACGACAGCGCCAATGCCAATCTATGGCAAAGGGGCTAATCTTGGTCTTAGCGCAGCAACGTGACCAGGGCCACCAGCAGCAGGGTGAGCAGGCTTAGGCCGCTCAGCGTGGCGCTGCCATTGCGCCTGGCCAGATAGGTGCGGAAGGTGCCCAGCCTGGTCTCGGCCCAGTCCAGATTCTCCTGGACGGTCTTCTCAGCGGCCCTCAGTGTGCTTGCCGAGCTGCCGAACTTGGCGCTGTTGTCGGCATTGAACTTCTTCAGGTCGTCCAATTGCGACTGCTCGGTGAAGCGGGCCGCAAGGTTCGAGACGACTGTGGCCACCGAGGAGTAGCCACCCATGCTGTAAATGGAAACAAATTCAATATTATAGATATACATGTCTCAATATTAGTTGGGCAGTTGGGCTACTCACGCTGTGGCCAGTGCATCGACATGGGCGGTGACCAGCTTGAAGACGGGGCTCACATTCTCGTTGTTCTCGGTGTAGAGGGTGCTCAGCACTGAGGACTTGTCCTGGCGACGAATCTCATTGCTCAACACCAAATTGAAGACTCGCTCAATGAGTGCCTGTTGCTTCACACAACCAAAGGAGTTCTGGAGCAGAGTCTCCTCGGTGGCAACCTTTTCGGTCTTGAATTTCGCATAGAGCGCATCGAACTCGGTGGCACCGCCCTCACGCAGCGACACACAGTAGACCACGGAGCGAATGTTCTTGGGCACAGTGTAGAGCGACTTGAAATAGCTCTTGGCCCTGTTGATGCAATCGATGTTGCCATAGCGACAGCTCCAGGACAGCACCTTTGTGCGCAGATAGATCTCGAGGGCTGTGTTCAGGGTGCTCTCCTCGAAGCCCAGCTGGTTGTAGGCCTTGTTGGTCAGCTGGCGAATGTATGTGCTGAAGTGGGCGGTGTCCGTGCCCAGGCGTATGGCCAAGTAGTTGAAGCCATTGAATGCCGATGTCCAGGGTATATAATTGATTTCAGTTTCCAGATACTCGAGCACCTTCAGTGTGAGCTCGTAGTTGATATGTCCGGCACGAGCCAAATTGAGCAGATCATCGACCACCTGAGCGCGATTCAGCTCATGGATGCCACCCCAGTTGGTGCTGACGAGCGCCTTGTGGATTTCATTCCAGTTACTCTCCGTGTAGTTGACGCGATAGTAGCCCGTCTCCTGGATGTTGGCCAACACCCATGTGGCCGCACTGGGCAAGGTAACTGTCGCTGGCGCATTGGGGGCTAGCACCAGCTTCGGCTTGGTGTCGTTGAAGTTCTTCTCCAAGCTGGTGGTGTAGGTAATTGGCACGGTATAGACCAAATTGGGATCGGCACCGTCACCTTGCTTGAGGAGGAAGCGTTTCTGGGTAAACCTAACACTCTTGCCATCAGCGCTCAGCTCGGCATTGATCAGGGGATAGCCCACTTGAGTGGTGAAGCTCGTGAAGATCTTTGTCGCATCGGCCTTGAAGCGATCAGCGGGCCAGTTGGCCAGCCAGGCATTCAACAAGTACTCAGGCACCGAGGACTCATATTGGCTGCAAATGTCATGTGATAAGCACTCATTGCCATAACGAATTATAGTGCTATTATACTTACTTTTTGACAAGGTACTCCCGCAGAGACTTCTTGAAATTATCCGAGCCCATTGCATGCTCAATCATACGAATAAAGGTGGCGCCCTTATTGTAGGAGATGCTGTTGAACATCCGACTCAGGTGTGCCGGCGTGAATGTGTTCTCATCGCTCATGGGATTAGTAGCGTTGGTCGAGTCCATGCCCATCACCGACTGAATCTGATCGACCACAAACTGCAGATCCATGCTCCACTCCGTTTCGACCATGGCGGTGCCAAAGTATTGGAAATACCTGGCAAAGCCCTCATTCAACCAGGTGTAGCTCCACCATTTGCAGGTGACCAGATCACCGAACCACATATGAGCCTGTTCGTGGGCAACAACAGCTGCAATTGATTGACGGGATGACAGAGTCGTGGCGGTCTCATCCACCAGCAGACTGCGCTCCCTGTAGGTCAGCAGGCCCCAGTTTTCCATGGCACCCGCTGAGAAATCGGGTATGGCAGCCATGTCCATTTTATCATTGCCTAGCGTGTAGTAGTTCAAGTCCAGATAGGTGCTCATCTCGGCAAGAATCTTGCGACCCACGTTGAAGCTATATTGGGTCTGTGGGTAAAACTCGGGACGCGCCAGAACTCCAAACGACTCATCTTTGCGGATGGAGAACTCTGAGATAATGAAGGCCAGCAAATAGGTGGACATTTTCGGCGTGGTTTTGTATACATCCAAAAAGTATTCGCTAAGGTAAGCATGGGAGTTAGCACAGATTCACACGAGGGTCTCTTGAAACCTACCCATTCTCCATAGGCGTTGAGGAAATTAGCCTAGTATTACTAACAGTATTGTAGGTGCGAGGACGTATCAGGTTCACATCAAAGGTGGCCTTAAACTGCGGCTCATCGAAGCTGGGGAAGGCACGACGCGCATGATGCGTCTGGAACTGTGTGGAGCCCAGCCATCTGCCAAAGACAAAACAAACACAACTCTCAGTATCGAAATTGAAGCCAGCGAATCCTTTGCACCCACTTCGTCTCATTGTTGTCATTCACATAGTAGCTACGGTAGAATCCATGCATATCATCGTCCATCGTTCCCGTATAAACGAAATGCAAAATGTAGCGCTGCTTCGCCACCAGATCCGAGGCTGTGGTCAGATTTCTGATGTCGGTCTGCAAATTGTGTGGTCCAATTGTTAGCTGAGTGGGATTAGCTGCTGCACCTCCTATTGCCGGTTTCGGCCAGTACTCCGACTTCGTATAAGTCAAGTTTTTCGAGTGTAATGACACGAGCCTTGTTGTCGACTCCGGCTCGATTTCGATGAATACCTCACCGTCGAAGGTAAAGCGAGCCTTATCGTTTTCTAGCAAATAGGGTCGCAACGTAATATTGTAGTTAATGGGATTGATGTGCGTTGACAATCTGTATTCCCAGTTTTCTGGTTCCGCAAACGTAGACGGTGGCAGGACTTCCGGCTCCTGTCGTGGGGCCGCCAACACGACACACAGACAGACCGCCCCAAGGACAGCCAAATGCCGACCGAACATTTCAACTGCAAATTATTAAGATTTCGAATCAATGCTCAAATAGATAATTACAACAATTTTTGGACCACAAAACAATTTAATTTAATAGACGGCACTCACTTTCTATTTGAAATATCACTAGACTAGAACAAAATTCGCGACTAAAGCACTGCGGAGAGCAACGCGAAAAACCAAACTGAAGTCAACTAGCGATTGTGTGTGCTATATATGATGACTTTAACAGCGTTTTATCTCTAACCTTAAAACATTTTATTTGAGTCAAGATAATTTACACATTGCTTATAGATTAAGCGACGATTACGATGACGCCCCGATAAGAGAATCAAGCGTGATTTATGTCCTATATACATATATATGGACACATGCCAATCAATGACTTAAGTATAGCCGACAGTTATATATGGAAAGATTTAACAATGGACTTTAATCCAGATACCATACAGGCAATGACTAATACGAAGCGTGTAAAGCACACCAAATAGCCAAAAGTAATTATGTGCCAAATAATCGACTGCCTTAGCCACTTCAAGTATCGCCTATATCAACTTTTAATATAGTCTTCGAGATAAAGCAATTCCACGAAGTGTTGGACACACAAATATGTATAGTCCTGAAGTAAAACAGCAATATTGATGATAAACATCGGTTCAAAAAAGAAAATGTTAGCTAGCACATTCTTAACTGATCTAAATTTATGTATGATTCACCTATTGTTTCTTTTTTTTTTCAATCAAGTTTATAAACAAATGCTGCAATATCAAAAGATAGTAGTACTTTGGAAAGATAACTAGAACATAAGAATCGCAAGGGAGATCGACGTGACAGTCGGTGCCAAGATCTCGTCAACTAAGCACCTATTTCAAATAAATGAATACGTATCGTTGACTAAAATTGTTAGCTTGCTCAAGTTAAAGATAAATATTCATAAATTGATTTATATTTATTTGATTTATAGCCATCGGAAAAATTGGACCACATATATCACTAAGTCTATAATTATTTTTAGCTGTGTACACATTTAGCTCAACTCAAACAGTTGAGTCACTCAGAGGGCTTATGACAGAACATAGGTATTTATGGTCTTCTATGTAACTTAAATATGAGTTGCTTTTCGTAAAATCAGAGTGTTTTGAGTGCTCGGGACTTCCCGACCAGAAATACCAAGAGTTCTGCAAAGAGCTGATAGTCTGATAATGTTCAACATTTTTTATTTTATATAGATTCGATTCACTTATTGGTAAATAGGCTATCTTAATCACATTTTTAGGGTACGCAAATGTGATTCTTATTGGTTTGTATTTTCCAAAATTCAATTCGGATCCTGTCATATTTATTTAAATTTATTGCTGCCATTTCACAGCTGGACAATTAACTTACTGACGGAAGGATGGAAAGGAAAAGAGTATTACAAATGTTTATCTAATCGCATTAATCATAAATTGGCATTATAAGAGGCATCACAATAAAATTTTTCTAATAAAATATGATATAGTTTTATTATTTTGCTTATTATAGCCAATAAAATGCTTGTGATACGGGGCTTATTGCTAATCTATCACATGAGGCTAGACCAGTTAGTAATAATATTTTGTTTATAATCGGAAATTAGAAACTTCAAATGTTGCATTTGTTAATGAAGCCCGTTGATAAAGATTTCTGTCTCTTATCATATAACTGAAATTTTCCAATCATGTTAATGTACTTCGCGAATGAATTCGAATCGAAATTGTTGGTTTTGGTTAACTTAAATGTTCTGGAATTGTTTGAAGTTGAATAAAAAAACGTCATCATCGCCCGATAAGCACAAAATGGCGTACTTCATGGACGGATTAGTCAATTCCTGGTTGGCTACATGTGCCGTTATCGTTATCGATAACCATATTGTTGCCATGCGATCGAATTGCTCATACCATGTGATCGAATTGCTCAAAATTGATAAGTCATTGAGCTATTTATGGTAGACATAAACTACAAAATCCTAAGGCGCATGGAACGTTAACAAAAAACATTAAGAAATTCATTCCACCTTCATGAATACTAAAATATTTTTGGAATGACGACGCGGAAATAGTTAATTGACTTTGTCATCGGGTGGAAATAATTGTTAATTTACTGACAGGAGTTTAATTAGAATATTTTTTATTGACAAACGGTAGAATCGGAAAATTATATACAAACATATTGGTCAAGCGAGGTAGTCGTACCTTAAATTAACTTAGTGAGTCCTACAAAATACATCCTAGAACAACATAGCGACGATGAAGCACAGTGCCATGGCTAGCAGAGATGCTGTGAGAGCGGGACTGCCGTTACGGAAGGATGTTACCCAGGAGATGATGGGTCCCCGGTTGGAAGCCAGCCAGGCCATGTTAGCCTCAACGTTAGTGTCTACGCTTGCCTGAAGTGTTGCGGGCACGAATTCGGAGTCTTTGACCGCATCGATCAGCTCCTGCAGCTTAGCCTTTTGACTGTCGTTAACCACGTAGGAGGACATGCCCAGAATGTCAGAGTACAGAGGATTAACGCCACCGAAGCCAGCATTCAGCTGGGCATACGCTTGCCAATTCTTGAGCAGGAAATCAATGCAGACATTCAGACCCACCGATCCACGGGAGTAGGTGGGAGTGAGCAGCGTATAGCGCTCCTGAGTGCGCAGCTGGTTATTCATATCAATGCTGCTGGAAACGTATTTCTCCAGCTGCTTCTCGTTCTGTGCGCAGCCGAGGGCTGAGATGAGCAGACGACGCTCGGCCTGGTTGTTTGAGTGCATCAGTTTGTCGTAGACAAAGTCAAAGGTTTTATCGTCGGCCTGCTTGAGGCCATTGCAGTAGACGGGCGTCTGCAGATTGGGTTCGATCGGAGTGCCGTGCGCGATCAAGGCTTGCAGCTTGGCGTTTGTCTCATCCAGGCAGCTCTTCAAGCCGGCCAGACAGGCGACATTAATGACCGCGTTGCGGGTAAACTTGACCAGATGTTGCTCTCCGTTCTGATCGTTCACGCCAAACTTATCGAACTGCTCGCTGACCAATGCAGCAACATAGAACTGGAAATTCTCGTAGGCTTCATCAGCGCTCAGATAGCGATTGAACACACTGATCACGGAATTAGCCGTTGACCAGGGAGCATATTGAGTCTCCTGCGGCAGATAGGTGAGCAGCTGAAGGAGCACGAAATGGGAGAGCCGACCGCTAGTAGCGAAACGATATGCGTCATCAATCAGCTGGGCGCGATTACGCGGATGAATCTTGTGTGGACGATCGGCCAAGCCGTGACTGATCAGCTGCCAGTTGTGTGTATCATAGTTGATGCGATAGTAGCCCGTGGATTGTTTGTTCAGTATCAGCCATTCACCGCTCTTCAGCGCGGCATCGCTGATACTCAAATTCTGGTCCTTGTGCAGATAGTGAGTGGCCTCGGTGCGACGGAAATCCGGATTCGATTGCACTGCATAGTTCACTGGCACGTACCAGGTCTTGTCGCCCTTGGCGTCCTTGTTGTTGGTGTACTGCTCCTGCTTGACGGTGAAGGATCCATCGTTATAGTTGCGCTCCACAGTCAGCAGCGGCAGTCCACCCTGGCGGGTCCAGCTGGACATCATGTCCTCCACAAGGGCTGGCACCTCATAATTCAATTCGCGAGCGGCCAGCGCAATGGCATCGAACAGATCCGTCTCATTGGCAGCGGAATAGGCGCTAGAATATCAGCAATTAGCAACTACGAATTGAGATCAACTGGATGATTGGCATACTTCTTCACCAGGTAGTTGTGCAGACCCCGCTGGAAGACGGTGTTGGTAAGAGCGTGACGCCACATGTCCAGCACTGAGCCTGCCTTGGCATACGCAATTGAGTCATAGAGCAACGAAATGTCCGAAGGCTTCTCCACGTAGTAGGTCATCGGGCGCACTGAGGGATTACCGTCACTGATCATGGCGCTCTGATATGAGCCAGTATGGAAAGTCTGGAATATATCCCATTCTGGATAGGCCTGATTGGGGTAATCAATTCGTATTAGTTCTCAGTCGGTCTTCTGTTAATAAATGTTCGCCTACCAAATCGACAGCCAAGTTCTCGAAGAGCGTGGCAAAACCCTCTTTGAGCCAGAGATAGCTCCACCATTCGATGGCCACCAGATCACCGAACCACATGTGCGCATCCTCGTGTGCCTCAATGGTGGCAATATTTGTCTGTGTATTTGTTGTTGAGTTCTCCACATTGTACAGCAGATACTCCTCGCGATATGTGGCCAATCCCCAGTTTTCCATGGCGCCAGCAGCGAAATCGGGAATAGCTGCCTGATCCAGTTTAGGCAAAGCGAACGGCACACCGAAGTAGCCAGAGAGACGTTTCTCGACCAACATGCCAGTGGTCAAAGCCCATTCCTGCTCATGCTCGGTGCCCTTGCGGGAGAAGACGCGCTGGGGCAGACCGTTAAGCTCACCCTCAGAGGACACAAACTCCGATACAATGAAGGCCACCAAATAGCTAGGCATTTTGACAGTGGGCTGGAAGGCCGTAACACCAGGGCTAGAGAAGCGAACCGAAGTTGAATTGAAAGGATCTTTTTAGGATATCTGAGTAAACCAACCTTGACTTGGCCGCATCCACTGGCATATTGCTGATGGCATTGTAGCTGGGATCGTGATGTATGGTAATTGTGAAAATGGCACGCTTGGCTGGCTCATCATAGCAGGGGAAGGCGTGACGGGCATCGGTGCTCTCGAACTGAGTGGTGGCCAGGTATTTGGTAGCACCAGTCTCATCGGTGTACGAGGAACGGTAGAAGCCACCGTTGTCCAAGCGCAGATTTCCGCTGTATTTAATGGTGACCAGCCAGGTGGTGTCCTCTGCAAAGGTTAGATCCTTGACAGACAAGTGCAAGAATTCGCGCTCTTTATCCTCAGCGACGTCAAGTGCCACAGCAGTTGACTCAGCTGCATCACTCTTGCGGATTGTCGCCTCCAGAATCTCTAGTTGTCGGGCATGCACCACAATAACCGAACTCGTCTCTAGAACTTTCAGCGTGATGGTCACAGTGCCTTGGAATGCTGTCGTGCCATCGTGCACATTCGTGGTTAGATCGATATTGTATTCTACAGGCTCCGTGTTATTCGGCAGCCGATAGGTCCCCTCATCGACGCGCTCAGCCGCACGCTGATTGGGATTCTCGATCAACTGGTGCTGCTGCCGTTCGAAGGGTGGAAACTGACGGACAACGGCCGCATGGGTGGTGGCCAGCACCAGCAGTAGGGCTAGGATCGGAGTGAAAACGCGAGCCATGTTGTCTGCGGTGCGACGACAGCTGGACAACAACTGAGCAGCGCTCGCTGATTTTCCACTTATAAGCCAAATTGTTACGGCAATCGAGGCAGATTTTCAGTTCGCACTTAACTAGTGTAGCGCATCTTATCGGCCGACAAGGCATAAAGATTATTTTAATCACCTGCGGCCGCCCCTAAAACGCCATCAAAACGCTCAATTCAATTTGCTGGCCAATAAAAAAACACCGTAAATCATAGAAACGATCTCAGGCCAGAACGCGTGCGCCTTGGCTTTAGGCCATAATATCGCTTAATACGGTTGTCAAGTGATCGAGTGGGCAATGGACAGACTGTTAGTTAATTAGATAACATATCGAGTGGACGCCAGTTGAAGATGGAGATTCAGACGGCCTTTGTTGATAGCAGAGTTCTCATTGTGATTTTACCTTGTCATCTACGGTGTCTCTTATCAAAAAACTTGTTCACATACAAATGCTAAACAGAGACAAAAATTAATAGGCGCTTTTTGCTCTGAGAGCGGAACAACTTAATTAATGGCCCTATGATAACTGATATCAATGATTTCCAAACGAAATTTAAAGTTCCGAAACAAACCGAGTCACGAGGTAGTCAAAGGTTAACCGAACATTCTCTGGGAACAAGTACTCGACAATAATTTACCATATCTATAGTTTTAATCTCGACTACAAATGGGCCATATAGATTGGGTATTAAAAGTTTTGAAATTCCATTAAAAGCTTAATGGAAAAACTTTGGCAAAATGTGGTCGATAATGATATTAATATTAATGTATAGCAATAATAATACTTAGCGTATCAGTCAAAAAATATAAATAAAATAAATTAACCAATTCATAGTGATCTCAAGAGGTTGTTCAAGGAAAAAGCGAAAACATATTGAATGAGATAACGGCGAGTAGAGTTAATCAGAGTGTGTTTATGGAGCCTATATCCTTCCAGGCGTTACATGCATTTATAGAGCTACAATCGAACATTTTTACAGAGCTAAATTATGACTCTGACCTCATGAAGCCGTCGATCGAAAAGCGCAAGGCTTATGGGGTTCATAAATATTTTAGAGTATCGCAATTATGGCCGAAACATGAGATGTACATTTGGTTATGACAATTGTATATTGGCCTTAGCCACAACTATCACGGCTTTATGAGTACTGTGTAAATAGCGATAAGATTGATCGAACTCAAGTGCTATAAACTCGAATTTCCGATAATCAGCTCCAATGAATCTAAACTGTTATTAGCAGTGCAGACTTCTGAGAAAGACGTAGAAAATTTCACCACTGGTCAAAATACGTACACCAATTTCGTTATGGCCTATGGAGGGGGAATCACGTAGTTTTATTTTATTTTTTAGTTTCATTTTTGGAGCAATCGTATTTCAATGAAATCCATGATATAGCAGAGATAACAACGCTGCGAGCACCACAAACAGCGAGGCAGAGAGGGAGCTGCTGCCATTGCGGCGATAGTCAGCTAACCAACCCATTATCGGCTGACGATGCACATTCAGCCAATCAAAGTTGCTCTTCATGGCGTTCTGCACAGCGGTTTCTGTGTTATCTTTGAGATACTCTGCGCCACTCGCTTTGATTTTGGCCACCAGCGCATTGAGCTGTTAGGGAAATGAATTTCAGAATTGGAGGAAATTAGAAATCGGAAGAGGCAAAAGGCAAAGTTTGAACTTACTCGATTCCTTTGAGACTCGCTGACCACTGATCCTGCTATACGGCGCAGTACGTCGTCCAACGGCTTCTCACTGGGATTCAGATCGCCATATGCCTTCCAATTGGCATCCAAAAAGTCCAGGCTAGCAGTTAGACCAATTTCGCCTCGTGAGTGGGCGGTATCTAGTACACTGGTGCGCTCAAAGGTGCTCAGAGAGTTGCTCTTGTCGAGGGAGGTTTCGAAGAATCTCTTCAGCTGGTTGGCATTCTGCATGCAGCCCAGCGACGACATATAGATAGAGCGATCGTTGCCATTCGTGGAAGCGAACAGAGCCTTTAATACTGAATCGAAGGTTGTGTCTTCGGCCTGACGCAATCCGGCGCAATAGGCCTGGGTTCTCAATGTTGGCTCGATGACCACACCGTTCTGCAGATACAGCTGCAGTTTCCTGTGCGACTGCTTATAGCACTCGGTGCTGCCCACCTGACAGGCCAGGCTCACCAGGGTCACGCGCAGATAGTTGTTCAAGTAGTGCTCGCCGGGTATTTCGTTGACGCCCAGCTTGACGAAGATATCCTCGACCAGTTCGATCACAAACTCGCGGAAGTGCGCGTAATTGGCATCGCCTCGCAGATAAGTATCGTATATATTCAATATACTATTGGCTGTCGACCAGGGCGCATATTGATACTCCTTGCGCAGGTAGGACATCAGGTCCAACAGTATACTATGGCTGATACGGCCCGTGTCCACGAAGCGGTACGCATCGTGCATAAGCTGTGCGCGATTGCGTGTGTGGAAATCGAAGGGGCGATCCCTCAGACCCTGTGCAATCAGCCGATAGTTTCGCTCATCATACAATATGCGATAGAAGCCAGTGGACTGTTTGTTGAGTAGCAGCCAATCGGAGCTCGCAATTTTAGCATCGCTTATTGTGTGCTCCTTGGCTTTTGGCAGATAGTGCGAGGCCTTGGTTTGGCGATAGTCGGGACTCGATGCAGTTGCATAATTGATGGGCACATACCAAGTATCCGTGTTAACGGTTGTCTTGTTGTTCAAAAAGCGCTGTTGCTTAACGGTAAAGGTGCCAGCATCATAATTACGCTCCACGGTCAGCAAAGGGAAGCCCACCTGCTTGGACCAGCTGGAAAAAATGTCAGCAACACTGAACGGCAGCTTGAGGGACAGCTCGTTGACCGCGCTCTGCAGTGAGGCGAACAAATCCCATTCGTCCGTCGAGTTGAATTGACTATTAAACAGAAGTGTCAGAGATATTGATATTTTAGATAAGATCTCATTCGAAAATACTCACTGTTTTGTTAGATACAGGTTCAATCCCCGCCGGAACACGGCATCCGTAAACGCATTCTTCAACATGTACAGCACACTGGCTGGCTTGGCATAGGAGATGGTGCCATATCGGTTGGAGATCTCTGAGGGCGTTTGCACGTAATGCGACATGGGCGTGCTCAAGGAGGCATCGTTGATCAAAGCTGTGTTGTAGTCGCTCACATGGAATATCTGATAGGTGTCCCACTCGGGGAACGCAATATCATTCGATTCATACGAGTAGAGGGTGGCGAAACCCTCTTTAAGCCACAGATAGGTCCACCATTTGATGGATACCAAATCACCGAACCACATGTGCGTATACTCGTGTCCAATTATATTGGCAATGTTCGTTTTCAGATTGATGGTCGACTTCTCCTTGGTCCACCACATGTACTGCTCCCGATAGGTGGCCAGGCCCCAGTTCTCCATGGCTCCGGCTGAAAAGTCGGGTATGCCCGCCTGATCCAGTTTGGGCAAAGCGAACGGAACACCAAAATACTTGGCCAAACTGGACTCGACAACAAGGCCAGACCACAGGGCCCACTCCTGTTCGCTCTGCCTGCCCTTGCGTGAGAACACGCGTTGAGGCAATCCATTCAGCTCGCCGCCTGTGGACTCAAAGTCTGACACAATAAACGCTATCAAATAGGTGGACATCCGTGGCGTTGTTTGAAATACGGTGTTGCCGGAGCTATCATAAAATCGATATTGATTAGGTAGGCGAACGATATTGTTATCTACTTGGCACTCACCTCGATTTGGCCGCATCCACTGGCATATTGCTGATGGCTGTGTAACTGGGATCGTGGTGTATGGTGATCGTAAAGTTGGCACGCTTGGCCGGCTCATCGTAGCAGGGGAAGGCGTGGCGGGCATTTGTGCTCTCAAACTGTGTGGTGGCCAGATAGCTGTGGCGAGAGTCAACAATATGTAGGCCCCAAAACAATTACAAGCATTAAGAACTTACTGTACTGTACCATTATCATCAGTGTAGCTGGATAAGTAGAACCCGCCCATATCTTCGCGCAGTCGGCTAGTGTAGCTGATGGTCACCGTCCAGTTGGAGCCCGCTTTGAGGGTGTCTGTGTGCGTGAGGAGCAGAAACTCGCGTTTCGTTTCGGTCGACCCTACCACTGCTATCGGTTGGCTCGACACTGAGTCCTTGCTTTGTATGGTAGCGGTGAATTCATTGATTTGCCGATAATGCAATGTGATCGTTTTAGTATCCTCGACAACTTGAATATCGATCTTCACGACGCCACGAAAATCTCTCGTGCCCTTGTGCACTTCCGTCCACAGCTCCACATTGTAGGATATGGGCACCGTATTGTTTGGCAGACGATAATTATCCACGCTGTTATCATCCGCGCGCGGTTCAATGTATCGAACTAGGCTTTGATCTCCTTTAGTCTCCAGCTGCTTAAACTCATCAACCGGCGGCGAGATGAGTCGAGCCTGTTGACTCACCGCAACCAACAGCAGCAGCAGCGGCAACGAATTTACTATCCAGCGCGCCATGTTAAGCGCCCTAGGGTCACGTATGCGTATATGAAACAGAGACTGCTATGGGCTGGGGTACTTATAGTAATCGTCATATCTAATCCAGTCGATAGTAAAGATAATATTTTGATAGGCGAAACACGAAATTAGCTTATTGCCCCAAATAGTTATGCCGATTCGCACGGTCGATCGTAAAGTTAATCGAATGTCCATCATCCAAGCAGCTTATCTCTAGACATGGTCTATAAATGTTGCCCATTATTAAGTGTTCAACAAACATTAAAAGTGCCTTTAAAATACCATTGACACTTGTTAATTTGAAAATAGGCCATTCACTTACTAAATCAAAATAAAATAAACCTGAATGACTTTCAAGTTTCAGTTACCTAATCATGTATTTTATCACTGAGAACGCCATTGACCTAACTCGTATTTATAAGTTTATTGATAAATCTAAATATACATACATTGTAAAGCATCGACATATTGTGATACTACAAGTTAGAAGGCTCTAGTCGAGACT